GCCTGTGTGCTCCTGATGAAACTCTGAGTTCTGATTCCAACATAAATTAAACAAAACATTACAATAGATAGGGCTTGCAGAGGCTAGTTTTTTTTTTTTTTTGAACATGAGAACTCAGAGAAAAAGGGATAAGAGTGGTGGATTCGACCCTTACATCATAATACAAAATAGTCCTTACATCATATTAGATAGCTACTTGAGTGGCTAATACTTCTAATCTATTTACTATAAAAGTGAGAGACAAATTAATGGTGTAAAGTTGAAGATAGATGGAGTAGATTTGTGGAGATGGATACATAGTGGAGATGGTTCATATTCGGTAAAGGTGGCGTATGATTTTTTAACACCGAAAGTAAGTATTTTGGATGGGAAGGGGTCCAAAGTTATTTGGAGTAAATATGTTCCTTCTAAAGTAAGTGTTTTTGGATGGAGATTATTTTTGAATAGGTTTGGCCACAAAGGAGAATTTATGTAAAAGAGGGGTCGTTTTGTTAGGGGAGGATGTTGGTTGCGGTTTTTGTCATGAGGGGGTGGAGCAATTGCATCATATTTTTTGTGAGTGTAAAGGGGTGTGGATAGTCTGGATGAAGATTTTGGATTGGTGGGGTTTGTAGAGTGTCTTACCAAATAATATATTTGGTTTGGTGGAGTATGTGGTGTATGGAATAGGTGGGGGAAGTTTGAAGGAGTTGGGAGCTCTTATTTTTTTGGTTGGTGCTTGGTTTGTATGGTACTGGAGGAATATCAAGGTGTTTCAAACTAGGTCTATGACTGAAACTCAGTTATTGGAGTCTATTCAGGCTAAATCGTTTTAATTTATGGCTTAAAAATAAAGAATCTGGTTGTGTGTTCTCTTATACAGATTGGGTTTCACATCCTATGGATTGTAGGGAAGCCATTGTTCAATACCGTAAAGATTTGAAGAACTACAAGTAGCTACAACGTCTCATGTTATGATTCCTCATTTTTGTTTGGTTTGTATTTGGGTTATTGGGTTTCAATTTCTATTTTGTTTTCAGTTGGATTTTGTAGTTCGGTTTGACATTGTTCTGTTATGAAGGAGTATTTCTTATACTCCTACAATAATATGATTTCACTTTG